CCGTACCGCATCGCGGCTCTCTTCTCGCTTCCGTAAAAATGCTACGCAGGTGCTGGCATGACCTTGAACCAGATATGAGAAAACACTTGGTCGACCACGCGAAAGGGAGGCCGCTTCTTGATTGTGTCTGCACTAGGCAAGTCGGATCCTAAGCCAATACGACCCGCTCGTTCGTCCTCCCGCGGAACCCTCAGAAACTCCGAAACTGCTCGAAGATCGGCATTGCTCTCCGCGTGTCTCATGAACGGCTCCATAAGATCTCCGTCGTTGGCCTGGTACCACACCTTGCATGCAAGCCATTGACGCTCGCACGCCCAACAGACGATGTCGCCTTCGAGCTGCGTGAGACAGCATCTGTCCCATGACCGGACTGAGCGTAGGGGGCAAGTCGAAGCCACCCTGCCAGACGAAGCACCAGACCGCATCATAGAAGAAGCTAGTCGAGGTGAGGTTGCCTGAAGGTACTTGGTGACTGTAATCGGCGCATGACGTCGGAATATGGGAGGATGGGGGGGTCCATGGACTGGCCGAAGTGACTTGTATTGAGGGTGGTCCCGCAGATAGCAAACGAGGAGAGTAGCTGGGCATGAGGTCACCACGGCATGGGTAGCCTTGTACAGCCTGAATGTTTCAATGGAAGCAAAGTGATTGACCGTCACTCAGCCTCGTACTCATGTGAGGCGGTGGACTCACTTCGGGCATGTCAACGAGAGCCAGCTCTGGGCCGTAGGAAGTATGTTCGCCGCAACGCTTTCGATGAGTCCTAGAGGTTGAGAAATAGGATGATACTGCGAGAGCTTGCTGGGTTTGACGCCCTCATTGATCATCGAGCGTGCCTGTTGCCAGTTGAACACAAGTCAGAAGGCAGCACTCGAAGTACCTTTGCGTGGCAACACACCTCTCCGAGGTTTCTTCTAGATCCCAGTCTTCGTCTTCATAAGACTCCGGTATGTGATGGGGGATTGTGAATCAGAGTATCTAGGCCGGTGAAGCAGGCGTCAGACCTTCTCCGCAAATATGAACTGTCCGGCGACGGTCCTCTACGATATTGTGAAGATGTGCTAAACTCCTAAGCTACGCACACTGTCTCACCTGTATCCTCACGGATGACCTCAAAACTTTATGCCGTGACCCCTACCCTGAATGAAACGCCGACATGGAAGCGACGTCGTACAGGGAAGCCTTCGTCCTGGGCGGTGTGCGTCTGTGGGCTTCGGGACCGTACGCAAGACGTACCTCTTCCTTGTAAACTCTCACTCCCAATCCTGGAGCAGTGGCCTTCCCCGACTTGCGCAGATGCCGAGCTCGAGCGTTCGTACGATGAATGGGTTCTTTGGAACTCTATTCGCGCTGGATCAACCCAACTGAGAAGCGGATTGAACAGCAGGTGGACTCACGGGACCTAGTGCCACTACGTTGCACAGAAACCAAACAGTCTTCTCGTGAAAATGGTACATCCTCTCCCCTATGCGTGCGGCGAGCCTACACCGCAGAACGGTAAATGTTGAGTCTTGCTGCGAGACTTCAGAGTCGTCTGATCGAATGAGAACGCAGAGGTTGAGAGACGTTGTGAGGCAAATGTCCGTTGACACCACGATTGAACAAGGAGGGGTTTGGCCACAAGTTGGTGTTTGGGTTGAACCTCGGCAGGCTAGTGGCGGACATTCCGAAGGAGCCGGACCAAACCGCCAAGCGCCGTTCGCGAAGGGCAGCGTGAACGAGGAGCCCGTACGCACCACGCTAGTATAACCCCTCTCATGTAGTCCCTGTGCGCAATGTCTTCATCCCCTCTCCACAACAACCTTGTACCAGACCAACATCAGCCGCCAGTGCTACCAGACGCACAATGGGTGACCTAGTCGATATGGCCGGTTTCGGTGAAGTCGAGCAGGTGGCGCCGCAACTGCAGGAAACGTTTGACATCGTGAGTCCTGCTTCTCCTTGCCTGGGGATCCTTTTCTGGACCCCGCATGACGTCGCGTTGGGGCTGGTACTGACTATGTATGTAACAGGACACCTTTGTGACCATCGCGGAGAGCGTGGCATGCGTATGTGACCTGCACATGTTTCTGCGATGCTTCGCGGGGATCCGTCGTCGCTAGTATCAAGAGCGGGTCGGTCAACCCACGGTTCTGGACGGAGCCGCATGTGTTCTTGAACTCTCCGCATAGCAACGTATGTCCTCGGGTGCTGTTCACAGCGTGTCCTTGGCTTACCCTCGCCCATGTCATCGCGGTACTTGGGCATGCGTTTGAGAAACCAATGAGCACGGTGCACTTCTGGATGCCGTTTGTTCTGTACCATCTCTCAAATGTCCATTCAAGCCCTCATATTTCTGTGTTTGCCCCTCCCAGTGCGGTGCATGGTGCAAGTACACCAGATGCGTCCGCGTTCCTGGTGGCCACCAAGTAAAAACACACTTGCTCATTGCGAGTTGTATACGCAGAGGGTCGTGACGAGGAGCGACTCAGTGCTGGTTGGATATCACTAGAGTAGGGTACAACACCATTAATGAACATCCCTATACACACAAGTGACCATTTATGCAGACAGTTGAGCCTTCAATGCACGAGCGGTCCCCCGCGTCATGCGTCCGCTGATGTTTCCTAGAATGGCAGTCGTTTTGGGATCAGTAGCCAGCTTTGCCCGCTTAACTGCATGCTCTGGCGCATTGGACACAGAGCTAGTCCCCATTATCAGGTCGATTATTGCACCTATATTGGACGCATCTTCCTGATCAGCTGGTTGCGCGACAGCGACATCTTCCTGCTTCCTCTTCCTGCCGCGCGCCTTGATGTTCTCCGTTCTCTTAGCCTCCGCCCTCAGCCACCCAACCGTTGGTGCCTTTGCGGGACGGCCGGGTTTGCCTGTCAATTGCTTTTATGTACAGAGCGCATCAGACAATGACTTTGAAAGATGAGAACATAGGGCGCACCCGAGGAATTCGACCACCCTTACGCTTCAACTTCGGATCGTATTGGTTGTTTTTATAAAGCATGAAGGATGCCGGTCCGATCACTGTACGGAAACCCAGGGTACGTGCATCCTGCGGTGTCTCCTGCATTGTTTGTCAAGAATGATGCAACATGATTAAACGGGGCAATCAAAGCAACTCACAGGTGTGCTGTGGTTCCACCCCA